GAACCCCCCGAGCAGCGCTCCCAGGACTACAGGTAACTCTGCTCCCTGCGTGCTCCACGTGTCCTGGGCCCTCTCTTTGGTTGAGCTCTGCACGGATCGTTGCAACAAGGGGATAAGGTGGCTCTAAATACACCTCTGCGACAGTCGATTGACTTTGGTATTTTGAGGATCCTGTACAATGATCTTTCCATATGCACAACTGCCATTAACTTAATGAGCACACCTTTCATGGAACAGTCTAAATCAGGCCCTTCAAATATACTGCTACAGTAACATTTGTGCTTTCTTTTGTTGATAAAATTTTCCTTTTACAACAGATTTATTTAAAGCAAAATGTAAATTAACTACACATTCATTTAGAAGAAAGCTTATTTTATTTCTGTCTAAATGCATCTATATTTTATGACTCTAGAGAACACCGAAATGACAAAACTGTCCAAAGTTGATGAGTAAAGAGATTCACCAGATCCATAAAATCTGAAATGAATTATGAATGTGTTAGACCAAATATATATATATATATGTTTTCTTACATTTATTATTATGGAGGTATTATGGAAACTTAAGCAGCTAAACAGCAAATTAATCATATTCCACTATACTGTAATACTTGTATTTTCTATGACCACAATGCAGCTGCGACGATACTGCTACAGTCATGAAAATGTAGCGTAGAGACATGTCAAGCTTACTCCCTACAGTGCATGGAATAACTTACTCTGTTTGATTCATCTGCATCTTCTTCATTGATGGAGCTGGATGGGGAAGGAGTGGCTGATTTACTTGCAGGAGGGGAGGGAGAAGTGTGTGGCAAATTAGTGCCTCCTAAATTTAGCCCCAGCTGCGCACTTAGCTGAGACTGGTTAATGGTGGTTAGCTGAGAAGGAGGCATAATTCCCGAATGAGCAGCATCAGTCATGTGGACAATAGATCTCATAACCAGAGAGTGATCCTGGCGATACTGGGAAACCGGTGCGTGACTCTGATCCTAAAAGAGATTGAAACCTTATTTAGTCATTAGCAGTTACCAAACAGCATTACCAGGTAAAGGCATTTTCTCAGGCTTACAGAACTGACGCTGTCAGCTTGCAGTTTGTTTCATTTCATTTCATGGATTAAATGCATGTCTAATCAGTTAAATGCAGCAACAGTTACCACACTTGCCCTGGACTTCGCTTCTTCCCCACTTATGGGTGGGGGTTTTTTTTTGTGGAATAAAAATTGCATTTCCCCCTTTTTAAACATTTCTTCTCCTGATGCGGTGAGAAATACCCACATAAACAAGAGGGAAGCAGGCTGACTCGGTGATGCAGGGGAAACATTGCAACTGAGAAGGCACAAACTGCTGTCAAACACAGAAAGTAAACAAAACCAGGGCGAGGTGGGGGGGGGATATATATATATATAGAGAAAAGCATCTTCCTTTATTGACATTCAATTATTCTTGGCTGTAACTAGTAACAGTTGTAGGTATAAAAGATTCCCGTCTGAGTGGGATTTTAAAGGTGTTTTAAACAAAGAACGCTGCCCTGCCAGGTCTCGAGTGCAGCCACTGCGGCACGCTGGAGAACCGTTCGAGTAATCCTAATCACTCCTAAAAATCCTTGTTTGCAAGTTCCCCACAAAACTACACATTTCATCTTTACTCCAACAACCACCACATGTGGAAGTAGCAAGCTATGTACCAATCACTGACTTTATTTTTCTTGTACTTCACATCTCAGAAACTCAAGTGCCTGCATGGTTTTGCTTCTTCTGTTTCTCGAGGGCACAAACTATGTTGTCTTCTACATCTGCACAACACTTATCACATTTGTAAATAAAAAGAAGTGAGACCCTGTTATTTTTAACCACACACAGATCAATACACAATGAATGAACATGTAAACAGAAAAGAAGATTTCTAAAACAGTTAATAAGTGAAAAGACTAAATAGCTCACAAATTGATTCTGCAATCTGATTAATCTATAGCCATTGTTTGAACAGAGAGAAACATGAGAAATAAATTAGATTTTGAAAACTCTTTCATTATTAATAACCTAGATCGCAATTAGTAGCAGGTGCAATGATCCCTAATGAAATGGCACAGAACAAACCAGCAATGCTGGGAGCCCTGCGTGCCATCCACCGGGCTTCCACAGCGGAGTTTGACCCTCCCAGTGCTCTCTCATTAAGCGTGGCTAAACCCAGACCAGCATGGCGCTAAGTTTAGCACAAGTGACTTTCCTCTTACTTTGTACAACTCTTCTCTCAACAGAGGCAGTGGTTCTGTGCTCCCGAAAACCTTTCCTTGGATGGGACAAGTGCAGCCGCACAGAGAAGCGATACACGTGTTAGAGAAGATGCACACCCTTCCTCATCCATCTTAGGTACAAGTGCTGCAGCACGCTGCTTCCCTATAGCAATAAATCATATTAATTCTGAATCTGGCATTCATGTGCCTTTCTGCTGAAGCCTATACAGAAAATAGAAATCCTTCTTAGCATAAAAGTACGCGTAGTGTTGCAGCCAGACCCAGTACAGATGACGTTAACCCCACAAGCTCATGATCCAGATCCCATACGCTAGGTCTCGCCCTCAGTTTCCCCATGCTTTCCGAGCCATTGCCAGCTTGGCTCATCATCCATACTGCAACCACACTCTCTTCCTGCTTCTTAAACTCTTTTAATATTTTCAGTAAAGGAGCGCAGTTCCTCAGAGATGAATGCATGTGCCAAAAGTGGAGCACTTGATACAGAAAGATCTAAACATCAAAATTATTGGCTGAAACACCCATTTGCTTCAGGGCACCTTCCTGTGAAAATTTAGGACCGTTAACTATAGGGTCATTTTGATTGTGACTTGCATTGGCAGTGGCATCTGGAAGTCATTCAAAGCCTTTTGTAAAAAGATATCACTTTCTGCCCATTAGTCCGTTCATTTTACTTTACGGACATTCCTGTATTGCATGAAGAAAAACTCTGCTGGTAAAGCAAAGCTGGAGATCATCAGAATGACCTTCTCTCACAGAAATTAACTGTCTTCATTATTTTGCGGGCAGTACTTTCTTGGAGGTGTTCTACACCTAAAAGGCTAGCTTTTGTCCTCTCTTTACTGTCACACAATACAGGCCTTTCTACCAACAAAATGTGATGGCATGGGTTACAAGCCATTTACCCCAAGTCTTGTCATTTCGGTTGCATCTATGATTTTATTGAGACTAAATTCTCTTGACTTGCACTGACCCAGAATCTAATTTTATACACAAGCCTATGAATTCTTAACTGTCCCTTCCTCTGACACTATTTGATGCTTGTGTGGCTTTTTACATCCACTTATTTAATTCCAGTTTTTCTTTTCTGTATCTTTTCCTAATTTTTTAAGCTTTTTTTTTTTTTAAACTTAAAAACTTCAGTAAAAGCTAAAAGTGGAAACAACAATATTTTCTAACTGGCTATCTAGCACTAAACAGAGAAGACATATTATATAAAAGAAAATATTTTGTATTATTTCCAATCTTTTATCATTTACATCATATGTGCATATGGTAACGACAATGTGTTTTCTGCACTTTGAATTTAAGTTATATGGCTAATCAATATTTAAAAAAATAAATCACGAAGAAAGGAATGGGAATTTCATTTTTTACTTGGTGGTACAGTGTTGCAGGCCTCAACAACCTATGGTACCTATAGAAGAGCTTTCAGGCAACGAAGTATAAACCTTTTTTTATGTGTGTAGAGTGGTTTGGCAAGCAGAAGGCGGCAGGAGAGCTAGTCAACAGCAACATTAAAGTCCACAGCATTTGTATATAGCTCCTAAGCAAACAAAATCTTCTAAGGAGAAATCTATAATCAAGAAAACAAAATTTCCATCGATTATCTTAACTCTTATTTTTTTTTCCCCTTATTCTACAAAGACCAATACTGAACCAGGAGGATCAGTAGCATTTCATTATGCACAAAATGTTTATCAAAGAAATGTTTAACAACGAAATATCAGGAGCACGCATGAAATACAAATGCACTAAAACAGCCACATGACATCCTAATTACATTACCACATGAGAATTGAAAAGCTCATGTATACAAAATATTCCACTGAGAATACTGTGAAAATTTTAGAGAATATCACAAGCTCTTTTACGTAAACTTAACCGAAGTAAAAGTGATCCACAAGTATTATGAGTATTCAGGATTTTTGTAACATTATGCAAAAAGGATAAATGAGTTTTGACAAAAAATAATGAACTTCTCAAGCGGACAGAATCAAGTTTTGATTGAGCCTGATCTGCTCTACAGTCTTGGATTGAAGCTAGGCAAAACTTGGTGATTTTAACCCCAGTCAGGCAAAACTCAGCCACTGGTTTACTCAGCATGCCAATCAAACGAGGACATAACGTGTGAAATGGAAAACCAAAGAGCAATAGCTTGTGTGATCCCTCTGCAGACTGAAGTGACTTTGTCTCAGATCTCTCTGGTGTTATCCCACAGGAGTGCTACAAAAAACCTGAGGTATAGAAACATTTACTAAGGGGAATGGCAGCCACCTCTCTGGTCTCTTCAATTACACACATGGATAAAAAAAAAGCAAAATACGGGGCAAAACGTTTCCCCCTTCTCAAAACAACTTTATTGTGACTGTATCCAGGCACGTTGGCTTTCTGTCACCGCTCTCTCGCACAGCTCCAATAGCACACGTTATGAAGACATTCCACGTTTGATGCATAGAAGGCCTCATCAAAGGAACCATAAGGATATTGGTCCATCAAACCATCCTACTCTCAATGATTCTAATCTATTTAGACAGTCACGCCAAAGAAGTCATATTTAGTCATATTGCCAAAGGACACATGTCTCACAGCATATGCCTAATATATAGCTTATTTTACTTTGACGTGTAGAAGTACAAGTTCTCAAAAATTGATAAAACGTCAATTCCCCAACAGCCACTGGAAAGTAAACAACAGAGTAATGAGACTTTAAAAAAAAAAAAAAGTTCGAACTCCCACATTTTAATTGATACAGTATTATCAAAGTATCACATTTTAATTGATACAGTATTACAACAATTACTGTACCTGAGCCAGTGAAAACAAAACATACCATTGAGTACTACGGGAAAAATTAAGGTTCATTCTTCTGTTATCAACTCATTAAGCATCCAGTAGTTAATACAGCGAGTAATACAGCTAGTATTTATTTTGACAGACAAATGCATCCAGCCATTACATCAAGAGATGTCCTAATTTCCACTAACGCTGCATTTTGAGAATCATTTGCACACAGTAGTTTTATCCTGGATTTCTACCCTGATATAACTTTAATCTCTAGGAACATTCAATATGATGTTTAGAAATATAACTAGGAAATTACTTTTTAGAACATTTTGAGCAATATTGAAGCCTTGATTAAAATCAATGTCTACAGCCTTCACTCATTTGAACAGGCAACATCTCCAGGAAGACTCTTCCCAGCCATGGCAGGACCAAGCCCGTGGAAGTGCCTACAGGAAGATGTAGGGCTGGGATCTGACCCAAGCTCGTTTTTAAAGCAAAGTGAGAAATCTGCCAACAAAAATAACCATGCAAAACCCAACATTTATGGTTATGCTCACTGTGCCCTGGTTTCAGGAGTTGACTTAAAACATTATATATTCTATTGCCTTAGGAATTCGTCACTGTCAATGTAACATAAGCTGATGCAATAAGTTAAAGGATATATTTAAGTGGAAGCAAATGCACTGCAATGTAAAGAGTGAAATCCTCAGTTGTCCCTGTCTGTAAATTACTCCCTTTACTTTTGGGCAAGTCAGCATATCTCTAGAAGAAATCCTCAATATTCTTTTTCTCCACAAGTATAGATAAAAGAATCCATTAATCTAAATTTTTACAAGATTGGAATTCACTGCCAATCAAAACAAATCAAACTAAGAGGATGCTTTTCTATGTCAGAGATTAAATCCTTACTTAACAGAATACAAAACAGTTGCACTTGGTACTGCCACCA